ACTGCTTCTCTGGGTAGGGTCCCGCTCTCTGCTCTTCTCCCTTGATGGTCCTAGGGACCTCTGCTCCTAGACTGAAAAGTTAATCACTCCCCTCCATGCTATAAAACGTCCACCTTTACATTTCCGACCCTCACATTTCAGTCCTGATAACAGTTATTCACTATTGTATCAAAAGAGACCCGTCTGCATTTCATTGCATCAGTTCCGCCTAGTCAGATTGAATACTACTCACTGGAGATTCTACCTTCCTCCAGGCCCTCTGGATCTAGGTTCCCTCTTGAAAGCTTGTAAACCAGTCACTTCTTGCCTTTGTAGCCCCCCACCCCCCATTTTGGGTAGCCAATGTCCAAGTTGCCCATCCCTGTCTACTCTGTGTATGGAGGGTGTGGGAATGCCATCAGTATATTTTGCAATATTCTGGTGCTATTCATCAAGTTTCAAAGTTCAGTATTTTGGTGCTATCTGACAGTGTTTCACTGCTATTTATAATGTTTTTAGTGGCTAAACATTCAGAAGCAGTCCACCTCTCCTTCTTCTGAGTCTCTGTTATTCTGGAAGCTCAGCAGAAACCTGTCAATCATGGTTGACCCTACCAGCATTCAAAATACGGGTGGCATAGTGCAGCATCACAACAACACACAAGCCACCGCAGAGTGACACACTGACAGACGTTTAGTGGATATATATTTATATATAATTATGCGTGTGCATTTATAATATTTTACAAAAATGGCTGTAATCCATAAACCCTTTTCTGTAACCTTTCTTCAGTTGACAGCTAATGACGATTATACATGAGTAATACAGAACTTTCTTATGTTCTTTTCAATGATTACGTAAGGTATTACATTCTCTACAGGGTTCACAGCATATTTAACCTTTCCATGCTTGTTGGACATGATGCTCAGTAGCTCATCCTTCATTATTTCCTGGCAGTGAACCAGTGTGGGTCAAAGAGCATGTCCTTCTCCTGGCTCTTGCCAGCGTGTGACTGGGCCGGTAGTTCTCCTTCCTGGACACCAGTGACTGTTTTCTAGAGTCAGTGCTGTCCTAGAGCTTCCTAGTCCTCGCTTTGAGCACTCACTATGGCCTTCACCCACAGAGGCCTGGGTTCTGGTTCCCTGAGTTGCTACCTCTTCTCCCGAGCCACCATCAGCTGTCCAGGCTTTGAGCAGAGTATAACCAGAATTTTGTTTTATTTTCCAACAGCGTTGTGTGGTGCTGCGCTTTCTGAAGTTTCATCCAAATAGGAGTAAGGTAAGTTGGGTTGTGTTTGTGAGGAGAGTACTGTAGGGGGAATTTGCCATCTAGTTATTAAAAAAATTATTTATGATAACTTACATTGTTTTCTGATGCGTAAGTATTAATGCTGGTTATAAAATTTTCATTATGCCAGGGAGTGGTGTGTCTGCCCTTTCTTATTTAAAATGCCTGCTCAAAAACTGTGACTCCTTACCTTGGAGAGTGAGGCTACCAGTGATGTCTCTGCAGTGCTGAGTTGGGAGGAGCCATCCTACTCAAGTGTGTGGGACCTGCTCAGTGCCTGGGCTCCCAAAGCCAGGCCTCAGTGTCGTGTGCCCCTCTGCTACCTCAGTTTCTGCCCGTGTGGAATCCTGTCTATAGAAATAAGCCTGGGAAGACCTGTAGTAGATAGTCTATGTCATAGTCACAGTGAGATCTAATAAATGGATTAAAGTTCTTAATAGAGAATAAGCACTGGACTGCAAATCTCAAGGTCAGTGGCTCAAGCTCCTCAGGAGAGATGAGGCTTTCAGTTGTTGAAAAGACTTACAGGCTTGGAAACCCTAGACAGGGTTGCTAGAGTCAGGACTGACTTGCCGGCACTTAACAGCAACAACAATAATTGAATAATTCAAGCAAAATGCCATGAATCATCTTCAGAAAGTTCCAGCTGCTATTTAGCAAGTGGACTTCAGCTCACATTCTCTGCTATGGTATTGTAGTAGTTGGCCCTCCATGCCCTCATGCCATCCAGTACATCCCTGTTGTGTTTTGTACCTGTGTCTCTGTTGTAAGAATGGTAGATACCATGTATTGAATATACTTCCATGCCCAAGACACTGGGCTGAGCCCTTTATATGAGTAGCAACCCTGTGAAGGAGATCAGAGTTTCCTCATTGTGTAATTGAACAAAAGGGAGGTTCACAGAGGCCGGAAACTTGCCCTGGCTTGTTCCTCTCACAAATGGCTGGGCTGGGATTTGAGTCTAGGTGGGGCTGACTCCAAAGCCCATTTTTTTGATTTCAAGAACAAAAGCAAGAGACATTGGCCACACCTGTGAACAGTGCGTTGCAACACTGTGGTGAGGTGTGCTTGAGAAGTGAATGGTTATGCAGTAGAGTGGGGCTTGGGCTTATGAGCAATGGAATAGGGAAGATGAGTAATTTGACTTGCTGGTGAAACAACTAGTGTGATGGGTTGGAAGCTGCAGAGAAGGAAATGTTAGGGTGGAACAGTTAATTTGTGAAGATGGCAGCTAACCTCTTAGAAGTGGCAGGTGCAGCTCAGGGATTTTTGTCATAGAAAGAGAAATTAGAGACTCTGGGAGGGAGTTCGGTGTTCTATCTAATAGCGGCTGCAATAGAGGAGCTGGGCCCAATGGTCAGTCTAGAGAAAGACACTGCCTGGAATGGAGACGTCTGTCTAGGAGAATGGGGGAGACAAGATGGCCCTAGCCATGGCAGATTGTGTAAATATGTAGCATCCTGCTCACCGAAGGGTCAGGGCAGCTTTCAGGCAGAGAACCCCAGCTGCGTACTCCCAAGAAAGGCTTCGTTTCTCTCCTTCAGCTCCAGAAGCAAACTGTGCCGAGAGTTGTTCTATTTCTGTTGAAATACATCAGTGTGGAAACTAGGAGTGTTTCGTAGCCACCTCTAGCCATGTCTCCTTTTTCCCTTGCATTCCCTGCCCTCTGCCTCCCCCACCACTCTTTGTGTGACAACAGTTCCCAACCCACCGCTTTGTTAAAGGTCCAACATTCTGTGGATGCCTCCATTTTTGAAATTTAGATTTATTATAGGCAAGTCTTCCACTGACAACAGTTTGCTTTTATTTAAACAGCTCATTGTGACACCAGCTGCATTATGAGTGAACAGTCACGTGTGGTAATTCTTTTGTTGACAATGAGGTTATTCCAGTAACACCCCTTTTTATCAGAAGCTCTACTATCACAGCTGGCCAGAGCCACAGGACAGTTCTAGGACATTCTTTTGGGCTTAATTCTAATATGACAACATTGCACATGCCTCTGGTTGTGTGGACTTAAGTATATGTGCAGAGTCATGCTGGGAGTGGAGGTGGGGAACTTTCCAGGGGGTATATGGAAATGCCACACAGCCAGTTAAGCTTTGAAGTTTTCCTGTGTGAGAGCCATGTGTCAGGCTTCCAAACTCAGGGGCCAGGAGTGAGACCAACTTACATGCCCAGCTGGCCTCTACCAGGCTTCCTGTTGTAGAATGTTCCTCTCCTTGAGAGAGCTCTGTACGGTGGCACTGTGGACTCCTCACCCTTGGGGCACCTGTGGGACAGAGTAACACCAGGGTGATTTCCTGTCTCTGGTCACTTTTGGATGGGAGAGCTTTTCAGAGTCCAGTTCCTGGAGGCAGGTGCAGGGCTGCTATCAGGGACAGGGCTCACCCCACTTTCTCCACTGCATACCTGACCAGGAGCAGGAGTGGTTCTTAAACTGAAGTGTTTTCCCACTTAGCTGGGACCTGAGCATTAGGGTTATAGGGAGCTCTGGATTGGAAGGGTGTGCTGGGGCTCAGGCACAACGGTTTTTTTCATGAACCCTGGCAAATCTCCCTTCCCAGAATCTGAGGACTGCAGCTGTAGATGAGAAGGCATCAAAAAATTCATGGAAAAAATAGATTTAAAAGATAATGGAATTTTGGGGCAAACTTTTTTAAGACCCTTGTCTACCCACAGCCCTGTTAAGAGATAGATTCCTTATTGTTTTGTAAAATCTTAGCTCACTGAAGGGGTCTCTTCCCAGAGGTCCTGGTCACTGACATGTTCCTGTGCTTGACCTTTACAGGCCTCAGAAGAAATATTTCAGCACCTACAGAACATAGTGGACTTTAGCAAAAATGTCATGAAGGAGTTCTTTGGGGAGAACTATGTTCACTCTGGGGTAAGTGATTTTATTTATATAGCCTAAATTCAGGGCAAATTCCATGTCAATAGTGCTAGCATCTGAATTATATTTTGGACCTTTGTGCTTAGTAATAACCTCTTGTGTTAATTACAGAATTTCCAAATGCTTTTTTTATTCTGCATGGTGAGGTAGGCAAAACAAACATTATTATTCCCAGTTTCTAAGAGCAAGATAAAAGGTTCAGGGAAGCTTTGTGAACTCCAACAGCATGCTGGTCCTGCAGTCCCTCAGCGTCGTTTTGTAGATGCAGGCTTTCCAGTGATAGTCTAAGTGGCATGGTGTAGTCACTGATCTCCCAACCCTGCCTTTTGTGGACACCCTCAGAGCAGCTTCACAGAAGCCTGTGGGTTTCACATTGGGTGGGTGGTGGGGCCTGGCGTTTTTGAGATGCATGCACCTATGGCCTCCTCTTCTGCCTCTCTTGCTTCTTCCCACTTACCTTGATTTGTAGTCTTACAGGAGGAAAACCTCTTACAAGTGAGAGTCATTGCTAGTACACGCTGGAAAAGGAGGCAGTGTAGGAAGCCCCAATGGCTCCCTTCAAAGGAGGTAGCATTGGTCTCTGCCCCGGGGGACAGCTTTAGTCCTCACCACTTTTCTTCTTCTGCCAACCTGGCTGCCAATCTGAAATCAAACCTTCAACATACTGATCCCGGGGCTGTCACTTTGAACAGAGGGAGCACTGCCTCTCTTGTGTAAATGCTGTACCTCAGGAGGAACCTGAGAAAAACAGTACTTAAAAGAGCTAGAGCAAAAGTGTCTTTGAAATATAACGATTTCCAGGCTGCTTAGTATTAAACAGTTTTAGCAGCAAAATAGTATTCAAGGAAGGTTCTTCAGCTGAAGATGGACTATCAGCAGACATTGACTCAGCTGAAGGGAGTCCCCTTTTGCTGTGCTGTCCCAGCATACCACACACAACCTGAGTAGGCTGGGGCCCCTCTAGACTAAGTATATTCATTATCTGCAGCATGAGGCAAGGGATTCTAAATGTAGTGCTTAAATGACACCACACACTACCTCACACAGCCTGAGTGTCTAGAACTTGAGAATGTTATAGTTGCAGGTCTTGAACTTAGGGTCACTTGTGACGGTGCTGCCAAGAAGTGACTTGTGGCTGCAGCCATCTGAAGGCTCAGCTGAGGTTGCAGGCCTGACTTCCCATGTGAATGGCTTGCCCATCTAGTTGGCAAGGCCATTCCACTGTTGATGAGAGCCTTGGTTTCCTGGGCTTCTCATAGTGTGGCAGGTGAGTGAGGTGAGAGCCTGCCAGGAGCCACAGTGTCTTGAATGCTTATTCCCCAGAAGCCAGAACTGTTTGTTCCATAGTATCCTATTGGCCTCACAGCCAGCCCTGTATACTAGGGGAGAGGGCTAATGGCGGCCACCTTAGAGGCTGGCTTCCAGAACCAGTGGGATGCCCAGTAACCCTGGAGTTAGTAAAGAAGACAGAAGTTCCATGTTATGAGAGCCCTGCTGAGGTGCTGTCCTGATCCTATTACTTGACTCCAGTTCTGTGGATATGGGGTGAGCTTGTCTTGGGCTGTGTGGGCAGCAGACAGCCCCATCAAGGATTTCTTGTTCTTTTCCAGGACAGGTTACTGGAGTCAGTCATCCATCCTGCATCCTTCACACACACACACCCAATAGACAGATGCTTAGGAGACACTCATCTTGATGACCCCTGTCCAGGGCACCCTGGTGAGGCTGGAGGAGGCTTGGAGTTTCTCCATAGCATTTCCCCTCTAACAGTATCGTCCACTGTGAGGGTAAATGTACCCGAAGGCCAGTTTTCCTTACTGGCAGAGACTCTTAGAGGTGTCATCTGTTGGGACATGCTAGCCCAGGCCAGGCTGTTGCCCATATTGGCCATGTCAGGCATTTCTCTATCTTACAACAGTCCAGGCTTCCAGGACCTTGAGTGGAAGCAGGGGTCATCTAGTAAACAGAGTGTGGCTGACATCTGATGTGTGTGATGACTGCTCTGAAGGGAAAATGAGGTGTTGGTGGCAGGAGTATCACCAGCAAGGGTATGGCAGTGAACTCTTTGACTTTGATTGGAGCAGAGAAGATCAAAATGAATGTGTCATGAAGGTATATGTGGGAAGCCTGTATAAACAATTCAGGTTTCATTGGTTTGTGGATTAAGACATGTGCCACAGTAAAACAGCCTGCTTTCTTCTTCTAGAGGGACATTTGTCCCAAGAAGAATGGGATTCTGACATGGTTGAAACTCAGGGTGCAGAGTAAATTTCCAGACACACTGCTGTTCACACATTAGAGTTCCTTAGAGTCAGCGTCCTTGGCACTTGTTTTTGGAGTATATCCATAAGACCACAAAAGACCATTTGGTAAAAACTAACTCTCATAATGCTCTTTTCCTCAATCACTGCAGTCCTTTCTTTCCCAAAATGGAAGAGGAAACTGAGCCAAGCAGGGCAAAGCAGAGCTTCATGAAAGCACTTCTATCCTCTGTGTTCTGGAACCGTCTGTCTTGGGACAAGACAAAACAAGCCCCTATGATGAGAATTCTAGACAGAGTGGACTTGCCTAGGCTTGTTGTCTCAAATCAGGAGACACATGGCCTGTGAACTGGAGAGCTTAGTTAATGAGAAAGCAGGGCACATTGTGTCTTACTTCTCTTGTTGTTTCTTCTTCATACTGAAGGAAGGTGACTACTGATGTAGTTTTAGAGGGTTAGTCTCACTTTGGTGGGCCTCGTGCGCCTGTGTTTGGGCTCCTGAGGTAGGCCTTACTTCTGCTGCACTGGAGCTGCCCGTGACCTTGCTCCCAGGTGTGGTGATGGTGGTATGGTGGTGTGGCGGAGAGTGTGTTATTCTTTCCGAGAGGCTTTTACAAACATTGCCAGCATGCCTGTTATCTGTCCAGCCCCTTCCAGGAAGTTCTCAGGGCTTTCCCTGTATCCATTGTTAGTGGATGAGATGATGATCACTGGAGAAGCGTGTGGAGCCACATCTCCACTAATAGCTACATCTTCTTAAGGGAACTATTATCGTCTTGCCTTTTATTTGACTCAAACTGGATCTTTAACTATGGGCGTTCTTATGTATGTGCTTGGTGCTGTCATCGTCAGTTGGTGAGATGACAGGACTCGCACTGGTTTCTGAGTGTGAATAAACCAAACTTGCCGTCGAATTGATTCCGACTCATGGTAACCCTATGGGACAGGGTAGATCTGCCCCATAGGGTTTCCACAGCTGTAAATCTTTCCAGAAGCAGACTGCCACATCTGTCTCCTATGGAGCTGCTGGTGGGTTCAAACTGCTGACCTTTTGATTAGCAGCAGAGAGCTTACTAGCTATGCCACCAGGGCTCCTGAGTCTGAATAAATGCCAGGAAATAAAGGTAGTCAAAGGTTAGAAAGAATCCATACTGACTTAAAACACAAATATGACTTGTTTATAGAATCAGTAGTCTAAGATTGTTTAGGAGAAATATACTTCTACTCAGACTGTAACCTTGTTGGCTGTTGACTTGAGCTGAGCAGTGACAGGCACCTGTTAAGAGTAGGTACACAGTCACCATTGGCTCTGGATTTGCTCTGTCTCTCCTCCTCATGTTACTGTTGTGACATCCATGGCGTTTGCACCAACCACAGCCTTATTTCCCAGCAGTGCGTGGGCTCCAAGGTGACCAGTCCAAGGGGAGACTCTTGTCATTGTGACCTCACAACCTTGCACTCGCTGGGTGGGTCATTTCTGTAAGGGAGGCTTTGATCGTAGTTCTTGATCTTTTTATACACACACATCTGAAATCCACCTTCTGTGAACTTTGTGCTTTTGGTTTCTTTAAAGTACACTTAGAACTTGGACTTTTGTGAGGCAATCTAAGCTTAGAGTTAACAGTTTTTACAATTACCCCCTTATCCATTGTTGCATTCTACCTATTTTAATAATAAACTTTAAATAGCTCTCCTTTTAAAAAATCTTTTATGTCCAAAGTGCTCAAGTGAGTTTTTACATAATAGTGTTTTTTTTTTTCTGTTTATAACATATTTAGGTAAAGGACAGAATCCCAAGTTAAGCTGGCATAAACAGGCTGGGAACAAGCACAACTGACCAACTGGACAGGTGGCGGCAGAAGTGTGCAGGTGTCATAGGCCAGCCACGGCCGTCCAGGCACGTGGGGAGCCGCGGGCAGCAGGCGGGGAGGGCCTGTGTGTGTGTGTGTGGTGGGATGTTGAGGCCGAGGTGATATCTGTTCTGAACTCCTGTGTACCAGGAAGTTTCTGTGAGCTGTATCAGTGAACAGAAAACCTTAGGGGCTTAAACCTAAAGGTATTTATGGAGCCAGGGATGAGGTTTCATTTTTTACTTGAGGCTCAGCAAAGTCATCTAGGCCCTCTGTTTAGGCCATATCTTTGTACCTGTTATTCCTGTTCAGACACACAGTGTCCAGCTAGAGATGGATCATCCTTCTGGTACTGTCTGCAGAGTGAGCACATGCTCTCAGCACCACCACCACCACCACCCACTGCCCACCAAAGACCCTCCTTCACAGCTCTTTAGTCAGAATTAGGCCATGTATTTACCCCTCAAACCAATACCCTGGGGTGATCACAATTGCTCATTAGGGAGAGGGCAGGATGCTCTAATGAAATTGGGGTTCTAGAATCCAGGAAGGGGAAGGTGGTGACTAGGTGGTGTTGTGTCTCTCCAGATGGCATTTAGAGCCAGTAAGGTGTAAGAATAGTAGTGTCATCAGAACCTGCCTAACATCAGGGGGGATTTAATGACCAGGATCAGCCCAAAGCTGATTCTCATGAGCTTCAAGTCCAGCATACTTCCACTTTCCAATATTTTTACCAGTCCAAATACCAGTCGTCCTTACCATAGCATTCTCTACTTCTCTGGTAGGCTCAATAATCCATTGCAACGGGAACATAGAACCCACAGACCAGACTCACAGTTAAGTGATTTGTTAAGGAAGTAGCAGGATACAACTTGAAATCAGGA